CCTTGGGTACAGCAAGGTCTCTAGGCCCTCAGGTGCCCACCTCCTGTCCTGAGCACGGAGCAGTAACCAGAGCCTGGGGCCGGTAGCTTAAACCAACTGGGCTGACTCCGCAGAACGGGCCTTTGGTTGAAGAGCATCAGGGGGCCAAAAGGCAGAAGCAAGCTTAGAAACAGCCAGAAACCAACAAGGCTTTGGAGCAGGAGCCACGTTCAAGGCCACCATTGCTGAACCAGGACAGTTAGGGTGCTGCTACTCAATAATCTCCACAGCCCTGGATGCCCTGCTTGTGTGCAGATTCCAGCCGTCCCTCGGGGCTGTCGGGGCCCCTTGCAGGAGTGCCTAGAGACATTTCCTCTTCAGTGGGAGCGTGAAGCCTGTTGGACCATGGAAATCTAGAGACAAGGATGGAGAAAGATGCAAACCCCTCTTGATATCCCCGAATCACCCCACATGGGTGGGTGGGGGGCTTATTGCTCAGTGTGAGCTCGGGGCTGGCCCTGCCCTTGGCTGGACTAGTGGGTTGGAACACACAGCAGCTCCACCAGCCCTAGCGAATTCCTCCCATAGGGGCCCAGGAATGCTTCAGTGTGGGGTTTCCTGCTTCCATTTCTGTTCTTAGTCATATATGAAGTCAATTAGGAACTTCATGTGGAACCGGGAGGCTGGCACTGGATGTCTATGCTGGGTCAGTTGATATTTCTCTGCTGCTCAATAAAATGAAGCATGTGGATTGGGCAAAGTGGCCAAAAGAGGGATGACCTATGGCAGGGGCAGTTTTCTGAGGAGATGATCTAATTGCACGGGAGGCTCCTCATGACCCCTTGCTCCTGGATGGACCTCAGCTGCTCCTACTGGGCAGGTAGTGCATACCCAAAATGTATGGACTTTCACCAGGCAATGTGGTCCCTAGAGCTAACCGCTGGGCTCTGAGTTCCCTGGCATCCCCAGCAGCCATGGCAACCCAGTGATTTACACTGCCCATTTACCTAGGAGACAGATTTCGTTATATAGGAATTAGTTTGCTATGCCTTCCATAACAAAATGCTACACAGCAGGTGACTTAACAGAAGATTTTTTTAATAATTACGGGGATTGAAAATCTGAGATCAAAGGATTCACTGGCTTAGTTCCTCTGTGGCCTCTCTTGCAGACAGCCACCTTCTTGCTGTCCACAATCTTTCCTCTGTGCGTGTGTACCTGCGGGTGTGTCTTTATGTGCCTGACCATTCTGTGCTATTTAGCTTTCTGTTGTAAGGTGTATCTCAGATAATCAATACACAAAGAGGAAAAGCCTTTGTGGTTTGGAAGGGTCTGGTACATGGTTAGCTGGCTCTGTTGTTTGATCCTATGGTGAGGTAGCTCCGCATGGCAGAGCACAAGGTAGCCTCTTCCATTGGGGAAGAGCAGTCCCAGGATCCCCTTAAAGGACATCACCCATATCTAGAAACCCTCTAACTATTCCCACCTCTTCGTGGTCCAATTGCTTCCCCAGCACACAAAGCTTCAAGACAGGAGTCATTGGGGGACATCTGAGATCCACATGCATAGCACCTCCTCTTCTCCCGAGTCCAGTTGACTAGATCACTATATGACCCTGTAATCTTAGTTTAAAGGAGTCACTCTTTAAAAACTCCATCTCATCCGGGCGAGGTGGTGCACACCTATAATCCCAGCACTGTGGAGGCTGAGGCAGGAGGATTGCTGTGAGTTCAAGGCCAGCCTGGGCTACACAGTGAGGCCCTGTCTCAAAGAGCAAAGAAAGCCCCCCTCTCCAAATACTTCATTTCAGAGGTATTGGGGGTCAGGCTTCCCCCTATGAACTGTGAAGTTGTACCTTTTTTCCTCTCAAGAGTAAAATTCAACTGAGTCCTTGTAAAGGGAGCATGGTGAGCAGTTTGTGCCTCGTGTCTTCCTTTCTGGCTGTGCCCATCCATTCCCACAACACCCTGCCACTGGGCGCACGGAGGCAAATTCCTGCTTGGACAGCATCCTTCTCTCCCATGTGACCTCGTTGCTTAGCAACCAGGGTGAATGCTGCGAGATTTTACTCTAAGTGGGATGAGAGAGGGCTCTCAACGCATCTGCTCTTCCTGGGGGATTTGCTTTGAGAAGGAGGTAGCCATCCAGGAATGTGACTCTTAGACCAGAAGTAGGTCAGCTAGGGAAGGAGGCAGCTGTCTCCGGATTGCCTCCTCCTCCTGGGACTGGATGACTATAGCGTGAGACAGGGAACTTGGGCCTGGTCTGCCAGCACTGCTGAATGTCTGTGTCACTTCCCTCACTTTTGAAGTGGATCCAGCTGCATATCAGGAGGGGCAGTTTTGTATGACATGCTGGGACCCATCACACCATGTGTTATAGACCAGGGGTCTATATAGACCTGCAGGTCAGGAATGATACAGAGGCTCTGTGGTCACTTGCCTTTTGTGTCCCTCTCATCTCATCTCATCTCACGTGGCCTCCAGGAGCCCCTGCTCATTGGGGGCTGTGTCCCCTGCACTTTGGTGAAGGAATATCTGTACTTCTAGGTCTTTAAGATGCCACCAACCACAGCTTTGCCACTTAACTGGGGAAGTGTCCACAGCATGGTACTGCTGACCTGGGTCTCAGAGGAGTGCTGGACAGCATCAGTGTTGTCACTCATTGCACAGCTGAGGGTTCTGTCCTCTGGGGAGGCTCAGGGCTGCTCCTGGTGATCGGGAGCTTGAAAATGAAAACGTGAGTCCTTGAACTCTTCCAAGTTTCCCTCATTACCACGCTGAGAAGGAAAATACAGAGTCTGCTCAACTTATGAGGGGCTTATGTGCCCCCAAACCCACCATAAGTAAAAAGTATCACAAGTTCAGAATGCATCGTACTAAGTTCCAGTTAGGAACGAGAAGTTCTGGGGCACTGTTGTATGGAAGGGTGACCACACATCAGCCTTATGTACTGTAAACTTTCAAGTGCTGGAAGAAAGAAACTTGCAGGTTTTTACTGTGAAGTAGTAATGTTTTAGGGTGACCTGTTTAACCTGATTTAAACATGTGTATGTGCATTGAAATAATATGTGCTGCCCCGAGTGGTGGCGCACTCCTGTAATCCCAGCACTCGGGAGGCTGAGGCAAGAGGATCGTTGTGAGTTTGAGACCAACCTGGGCTACAAAGTGAGCTCAAGACAAACTCAAACTGCATAGCAAGACCCTGTCGCCAAACAAAACAAAACGAAACATTATGTGCTACCCCATGGGTACGTAGTTTTTGTGTATCATGTAAAAATAAATTTAATATTAAAAAGCATTGAGCAGCCTAAGCTGCAGAAGCTCTCGGCTCAGCAAGGCAGCATGCTGAAGAGCCTGTTCCGTCCTTGGTCTCTGACCAGGAGCTGTGGTTGATATCAGTAGAATACAAAGCATGTAAATCAAACCACCCTAAATTAGGACTCCACACAATGTCTACTGCATCCAACACTTTGTGGGTGACAGATAAAAATTATAAACTCATTCCTGTGTTTAATAATCCAACAACCCCTTCTGTTGTTGGTGACGCTGAGCTGTTCCAGGTCCCTTGGATCCTGACACAGCCTCAGCCACAGTGAGGCTCCTCAGTGGAATCCCTGGTCTGTGCCCAGCGGTCCTTGCTACACCCAAAGGGACTGATGGGGACTCCACCGGTGATGGAGGGAAGATGGGTGGACAGACAGCCACTTGATCCATCACAGGTGACAAACATCTGCTTGGCTGCTTGGCTGCTAAGGCAGCAGCCACAGAGAAGTGGCGGGAGGAGCAGGCACACCGGGCAAAGGGCATGGCCTAGCCTTCCACACCATTGGGGATGTGGAGGAGGAGGAAGGCTGTCCCGCCCCTGTAAAGTTTCCATGTCTGCCCCGTGTGCACACAGATGCGGGTGACTCAGGGCCAGGACTGCAGGGCTAGGCTGTGCTCGGGGCTCTGTCTCCGAGGTGTAGCACGTGGTTGGCATAGGCGCTGCTGGGGCCTTTGGGGCCTGTGAATGTACAATGTGGCCAGAGTGGATAGCAGGTTGGCACAGGGCAGATGTGTCCTCTTATCACCAGCACCACGGTAGGGACAATGCACAAATTCATGGCACACACACCCCCAGGCTGCACTCCAGACTAAGACAGTTTTATACTTGCACATTGCAGCTCTTTGCTCCTAATAAAGAACACCACTTCCCGGGAGGAGGACCTACCCGCTGTGACTTAGCTCAGGAACTTTCTGGAAGGTGCAAGAGAGAGCGACTGCTATATTAAGTGCCTTACTGGGTGCCAGCAAGAAGGGACGAAGGTGTTTGCCACCCAGAGCCCTGCCCGTGCTCTTCTTCCCGGAAGGCCTCTCCCATCCCCCTGCAACACTTCAGCTTTACCCTGGTCTCAGCTGGGCGTGCTCAGGAGGTGGACCCAACAGAAACTTCTGGAACATTTTACCTGTTCCGGGTCATTCCGGGTTGACATGCTGAGGCTAACAGGGGCAGGCTGGCACCCTGGACCTCCCTGGACCCTTTATGTAGCCCCTACAATTTTTAAGTTAGTTAAAAATTTGAAAGTTTTATCTTACAGAAAACTGACTTGCTAGCTTGTCTAGAAAAACTAGAAAGTTCACTGTTTCCATTGGTGACCTGGGAGGAGAAGACATGGGCTCAGCTCCAGGTGAAGCCCCCGCAGCTGGCCCCAGCTGGCCCCATCACACACCCCTGAGAGCATTTGAGCTGGTGCCCTCTACTATGGTGTACACAGACAAGAGTATTTTTAAAATAGAAGAGGAAGAGGGAAACCTGTCCTTTCTCCTCCTTGTACCCATCCCAAAGGGCTGCGTCACCCAGCGGTGACCCTCGCACTCCTGTGACAACACAGCACTGCCCTCCTGGGTTATCTTCGGCCATTGCTGTGCCCAGTGCTGCACACAGCCTAGCTTATTCGATCCTCAGTGCAACACATCTGGGGAGCCATGCTGCCACCACGGCGAGGGGACCGAGGCTCAGAGCACCGGAAGTGACTCCTGGGCCCTGGATTTGTGAGAGCTGAAGGCAGGACTGAGGTGCAGGCAGCGGGCCCTGGAGTCTGAGCTCTCCGTGGCTGGGCTCACTGCTGAGCCTTGGCGTCTGATGTGACAGTGACAGGTCTTTGTCCCGCAGCCAGCGGTGCCTGCCGGTCACCACCACTCACAGCCCTGCGTGCAGCCCTGCACTGCGGCAGCCTGGGAGCCCCGGAGCTGTCGCCTCAGCATTCCTGCATGGCCTGCGTCTCACCCCACAGCCTCGAGCCCCCAACGCAGCAGGAGGAAACTCTCCTGGAAAAGCATGACGTGCAGCTGACCATCGCCCGAGTCAGCGGGGACCCCCACAGCAAAGGGTAAGCAAGGCGGAGCGGCTCGAGTGGCAGGAAGTCATTCTCGAGTCTTGGAGGCTGGAAATCTAAGCTCAAGGTGTCAGCGGTTGGTTTCTAGGGAGGCTTCTCACTGCGACTTGCGGTGGCTGCCTCTCCGTGTGTCCTCACTTGGCCTTTGCTCTGGGCATGGGGAGGGGCAGGGGAGAGAGAGCATGCTAGTCTCCTGGCTTCCTCTTCTTGTAAGGCTTCAGCCTCTCGGACTAGAGATGCTGCCCCGGGACCTCAGCTGACCTTAATCACCTCCCAGAGCTCCTATCTCCAAATGCAGCCACGCTGGTGGTTAGGGTGTCAACAGATGAATTTGGGGGTAACACCAGCATTCGGCTGTTAATAATCGCATTCTAGGTTTTTACTCTTGCTTTTAAAAAAAAAAATCATATAAGATGAGGGAATGTTTTCTAATCAGCAACAAAATTGTTTAGTAAACCCCGTTCCTCTTAAGTCCTTACTGTTCTCCCCCATAAGGCCTCTGTCTCCATCGCAGTTCCAAATTCACAGCCCCAAATCTTCTGCACATTGGCCTTGCTTCTCCCCCACCTCCTAGATGGAATCTACGGCTCCTGCAGCATTTCTGCCATGGGTCTGGGTTTATAGAAAGGGGAGGTTTTTTCCCTACCAATAGCAATGCAGAATGAAATGCCCTTGTGAATGGGTCGTTTCTGTAAAGAGAGAGGGGAGCACGGTGTTTGATCAAATCACTGTCTTGCAGTTTCTGCTGTCTGTCCTAGGACTCACACTGAAGAGCCTTAAAGCGTCATGTGAGGTGATTGCTCACCACTGTAGGGGGACCCTGAGAAAGTAAGCAGGAAGGAAGGAAGGAAAGAAGGAAGGAAGGAAGAGGGAGAGAGAGAGGTAAGGAGCCCCAGCTGTTCTGGCCCCACTGTCTGAGCTTACTGTGTGCATGAGCTACACATAAACAAGGGTGGTTTTGAGGTGACATAGTCACAGTCACCACCTGACTGCAATTGCCTGAGGGCCCCCAAACAACAACCCACTGAGCTAAATCAACCCCCAGAGTGATCATCAAAACAGCAGAATTATTTTGTGCCATTGTTTTGGGGGTGGTTTGTTACACAGCAATTAATAGCTGATATAGCCACCCAACATCTGAAATCCCACCCCTGATCCTGGCAGCCCAGGGTCAATCTCTCCATTTTCTTGGTTCGTACTGGGGATTGGAGATCTCCAGATGTGAGAAAGCATTCACAGCCCCCAGCCACCGGTGACCCACTTAGTCTTGCCCAAGAAGTTAGGGCAAGCAGTGTCCATGCAGAACCCCTAGCTGCTGGAGAGGACTCTGATTGGGTGTGGGGTCTTTGCGCTCCTACAGGAGGTCTGATTTAAGTGGCCACATCCTCTCCTGTCCCCCACCAAGTCTGTGTTGTGAGCTCTGAGCTCGGCTCCATTTTAGACCTTGTTCCAGAGACAGTGAGCTCTCCCCTCTCTCCGGCCTGCCTCTGACCGAGCTCTATAAGCCCAGGGCCCTCAACTGGTCTTGGCAGAACCCGGTGCGATGGTCAGCCTTCAAGCTTTGCATTTCTACCTTCAGTGGGAGGTCTTATATGTCCCACTCACCACCTGCACAGGTAGACAAGAGGCCCAGAACCTTCCATCCTGCTCCAGCTTCATGAGGAGACTCTGTCGTCAGGTTGTACCTAACACCAAGCAGTAGGAGGTCACAGTGAAGTTGTTTGTGGCTTCAGGCTGAGGTGATGGCTTTAACCCCAGGAGTAGCTGGATAATTCCCACAAATTATTGGTCACACTTCAAAAGGCAGCTCAGCTAAGGAAGAGAGCACAGGAGAGGCAGACTTCGGTGAGGTCATAAAAACTTGCAAGTTATGGAGGGAAGTCTCTTCTTCCAGCTTCCTCCCCAGACGGCCGAATCACTGCACAAAGGCCTTGGCTTCTCTAGCAAATCGGTGCCTCTGGACTCACTTCATTTGGAGTCTGAAAGATCAGCTGTCTACATGCACATGCCACGGTTTATTGTGCCACAAAACAAGGACTAGATAATGACACAGACGATGAAGCTAAGCCTGGAGATGTCAAGCGCTGAGACAAAGATTTAATTCCAAACCGTGAGCTGCCTCTGTTGCTGTCTGCCTCCCTTCCAGAGCAGCCGGCCCCATGGAAAGGTACACTATTACATCTCGAAAGCACACTAGAGAGCCTGAGCCCCCGGTCAATGTTAGTGACAGATCAGGACCCTCAGCTGTCGGGCGGCACTGTGCTGGGTTTCCTGCACGCACTGTGGTGGTTTAAAAACAGGTCTACAAGTTCTTTGCTTCTGCTCCTGTCCAGTCTCCCCTTGAGTGTGAGCTCTTGGGTGACTCACTTGCAATGACTAGAATGGCTCAGAAGTGAGTGTGCACAGAGCAGCTGTGTTCGGGGACTTTTTAAACTCTATTGTGTTATGCAGGACACTGTGAGCTCCTGCACGACAGTGACCATACGGTGTTTCATTCCCAGGACCTTGCACACCTGCTGGCATAGAATAACTGCTCAATATTTTTAGTAATAAAATAAGCAAATACATTTCTTTCATAAGGGGACAAATGAAATCATGTACAAGGCTATTGCATGTCTTTATGATATTTACAGCTTTAGATACATAGAGTGACACAGAAATGTGGTCAAATACTCGTAAGTGAAATAAATCAAACTTGCATGTGTAAATATTCTATTGTCTCCCTAGTGTGAGAAATTGAAAGAAATAATATATGTGTTATAATAGTTAAAATATGTTGGAACTTAGGACCCTGGAAAACCAAGCAAGCAGCTCACCTCCCTGGTAAGCGGTGACGGTGTAGCAGACTACAGCCTTTCCAGGGGGAGAACCACCAGTGTCTCCTGAGAACCGCGCCATGTTGGAACTTAGGACGCTGGGAAACCAAGCAACCAGCCTGCCTCCCTGCTAAGCAACAGTAAACCTATTGGTTCACGGCCTAGAGTCAAACATCCCACTTACCCTTCCCTCCTTCCCTGTCCCCCCACTGGTTAGCAAATGGGAACCAGAAATCTGAACATCTTTTGGGAGGTTGACCATAGCAAATAAGGGGGATTTCCTTCTACTATCTCTTTGAAGGCAAATTTTTTTATAACTGTTTTGCTTTATTCTGATTAATGGTACTGCTCTATTCAATATTCTGTATTGATAAATTCTATAATGTTCTGTATTTCATTTTATTTTGATATACATGATTGAAAGAACAACTATTGTAAAGATAATGAAATATACTGTGATACCTATTACTATTATCCCAGTAACCTGCTGTGAAGTTCTGTACCAATTTCACTGTACGATCTTAGTTGGCTTTATTCTGTCTTGTTATGTTGTATTTTACTACTTTCAAAATTTTAAAAAATGAAAAAAAATAGTTAAAATAGGTACACTACTAATTACTCTTAGTTCATTGAAAAGAAAGGTTTGTGCTAATATTGTTTGGACAATGAAGTGCAGATGTCTTATACTCTGAGTAACTGATTTAAAGATAACAATTTCAGTGTATTAACCATCATTACCCTCTAATTATCATGTTTTGAAATTTTGTTATCTTTTTGTCTTTAAAGTAAAAAAAGAAATGTGGTCCTGCTTAGGTTTCAGCAGGAGAAATCCCTAACAACTTGCTGCCATCTAAGCTTGAAGCTGGGAGTTTGTACAGCAGGCCGCTCACTGTAAATCCTGTAGTATTTCCACCTCTGCTAGTTTGTTTCTGGTTTCTGTGACAAAATAGCTGAGGCTGGGTCCTTTAAAAAGAGCAGAGCCCGATTCTGCTCACAGATTCAGAGGCTGACAGTCTGAGATCAGGCAGCCCCATCTGTTCACACTCTGGTGTGCGCCTCTGGGCTACATCACAACGTGGCAGGGCCACACAGAGAAGGGAGATTGCACCGTGAGGCCGGAAGCCGGGGAGTAGGAGGAGACCATTCTTGCTCTTTTCACAACAACTTGTTCCCACTCAGGGAGCCCAGAGTTCACCTCCCAGGGCAGCGCCCCAGGGACGGAGCCATCTTCTTCCACTAGGCCATCCTAACAACACCATGCTGGGGACCACACTCCCAGGCCCTGAACCCTTGGGGGACAAATGCACCCAAGCCATGGCACTGCTTAAATGTCAGAACATTCCAGATGTTCCTTTAAGTCAAAATTCTAATCTTTTCACAAGAATCATAAGCTTGTTAGACTTCACAAGAATTATAAACACATACTTAAAAATCATTTTCCTGTGAAAGACTTTTCAAATGTTTGAATAAATGATGAAGCATTTAATAAATGCTATTTTCTATGAAATTTCTTTTGTCATTTCTCTGGAAGCACTATATGTTAAATGTTCTAAGCAAATATACTTTTAAACTGTATAAAATATATCCTATAAAATTATTATATGCATCTAAAAACTTTTCCTGTAAGGCCTGAAAAACAATTTTTTTTTTTATTTAAAAGGGGTAAGATTAAACAGAGCAAAACAGATCATAAGGAAACAATTTTAAGAAACACGGATTTCAAAGCAAGTCCACTGAAGATCTTCACTGTCTATCTTATTGTCTCTAGCTGAGAAACAATTCTTAAAAATATGAACAGGGAGCCGGGTATGGTGGCACACATTTGTAATCCCAGCACTCAGAAGGCTGAGGCAGGAGGGTCGCTGCAAGTTGGAAGCCAGCCTGGGCTACAAAGTGAGTTCAAGGCCAGCCTGAACTGCATCGTGAGACCTTGACTCAAAAACAAAAACAAAAAAAAAGTATGAATAATAGTATATTCACGTGTACAATGAATTCATTAAACAAAACTAACCATTGTTCTGCTGGGCGTGGTGGTGCATTCCTGTCATCCCAGCACCTGGGAGGTTGAGGCAGGAGAATCACCACAAGATTGAGGCCATCACTGTGCTACATAGTGAGTTCAAGACGAGCGTAAACTACATAGTAAAAGGCTTTGAGAAGAAAATAAAAAAGGAGATGAGGAAGGAGAGGGAGAAACAGAAGAAGGAGAAGTGACGGACTGGGACCATTGTAGTGCTTCTGTATTTGTGACCAGAAAGCTGTAGTGCATGGAGAATATGCTTGTGACCCGTGAGCTGGGCTGCCAATTCGATACGCTCAAGCGGTGCCCAGGGCATTAATGAAGCATACTTCGGCGTGTCTAGGTGGCTCCCTTGGCTCTAGAGTTATGTCTCTGTTGATGCTGTCCCCCCACTGTGCTTCCTGGCTGCTGTGAAGTGAGCATTGTTCCACCATGCTCTTATGCAGTGTTTCTATGTTGGATCCAGCAGCCCATGGACTGAATCGTGTGCAACCAGGAGCCAAGTCAGACTCTGCAGTATTGAGTATTTTGTCCAGCAATGGAAATACCGACTAATACAGGATGAATATATGCAACTGGTTCCTTACTGAAGGGATTTTGTGATGAGTTGGTGCGGACGACAGTACACAAAAATATGCCGAGCAGTCATCCCTCAGTGTCACTGAGGTTTGATATGATTGATTCCGGGGTCCCCTTCAAACACCAAGATCTATGAATTCTCAAGTCCCTAATGTGAGATGCGTGGTATTTACTTTCTTTCCTTTCTGATGTTTTCATAGAAAGTTTATGATCCTCCCATATATGTTACACCATCTCTAGATTACTTATAATACTTAATAGGATGAAAAGGGTGACAAATACTTGTTATTTGTACTGTCCATTTAGGGGACAGTGACAAGGATATGTTTAGGACGTGTTCAGTGTAGATGTGATCTTTTTTATGAGATCTTTTTAATGAGAATTTTCTATCCAATGTGCTTGAACTCATGGGTGGACACCCTGGAGATATGGAGAGCTGTTTTTCATAAATAATAAAGATAAATAAAACAACTCAAAATGTCAAAGGTGGCAGCAGACCTGGGTCAATTCTGGATTCTGTGGTGTGCTCCTTGCTCGGATCCTTCGCTCAGGAGGAAGTCAGTTTGGCATCAGACAAGCACTCAGTGGCCAGAGAGACACGTGTGGGAAACATCACAATCTTAGAGATGGACTCTTCAGCCCCTTCCCCTTGGTCTGCCATATCCGCCGGCTAAGGGATGCACAGCTTCCTTTCTGATCCTCAGAAGCTATGTGAAATAGTCGATGCTTCTAGGCTTGGGAGTAATTGGTTACATGACAAGTATCTAGTGAGTCCATTCCCTTCCAGACACCATCTCCTCTGTTCAGAAGGGAGAATGATTTCAAGTTCTTCTGCAGAACAGTGTGGTGCAACTTCCCAAGCAGTGCCTGGGAAATTTACCAAGAAACTCTTCCAAAGGAAAAAAGGCTTCTCATGTTAAGACTGCCCCCGGCAAACAAAAGCCGAAGCAGCTCATTGCTATTAGACCTGGACGACAGGGCTGGGTGGTGAATGCTGTCCCACGCAAAGGCAGGTTCCTAAAAACACCATCGCGTACCCTCTCCCACCTTACTGGCCAGATGCGGCGCCATGTAACTTCTGGCTCTTCTCCAAAGTCAGGACACTGAGGCGGCCACAGCAGTGCCCCCACAGACACAAAGAGGACTTTCGGAACTGCTTCAGAAAGTGATGAGAACATGGGACAGGGCGTTTGGAGTGAGGAGGTGTTTTGAGGGGGATTGATGGCCATGTGTCTTTTACTAGAATATAAACTTTTTAAATTAAGAATTCAAAAAAGAAAAAAAGGCTTCTCAGGGCTCCGAATGGCTGTGGCCCAAAGCTGCTCCTGATGGCTATCACCCCCAGGTCACCCCACAGTCCTCAGCCTGCATAGGAGAAGCAAATGAGGAGCCCAGGACAGAGCTGCTGGCCTCTGACCTGCTGCTTGGGGCACGGGAACCTGCTTTATTCTGTGCTATGCACATGTGTCATCTACTCATAAATCAATGAAATACATTGAAAATCATAATTTATCAATTACAAAATGCTGTGTCAGTGTTTCTAAAAATAAAGGTCTGGTGGTTACATAAACCTGGAGAAAGTTACTAATGTTTCCCCTTCCTGGATGGTCGCTCTAACATCTTGAAGATCTGAAAAGTTCTGCAGTAAGGAATGCTGTTCAATCTGCTTAAACCTGAGACTTCCAAATTTGTGCAACCACATAGCTCTTTTTTCTAAAATTCTATATAAATAGCCCCAGTCATAAATAACCAGCTGTGTGTTTTATGCCACAAGGCTGGGGACTGTGCCATGAACAACAGAGTTCCAGTTATGTACCCTTGAAAGCCAGATGTAGGGTCCAGAGGAAGCACACGGCGTCGGGGCTGGGTGGGGCTGGGAGAAATACACATACTAGGTCTCAGAGAGAGAATCTCCAGGGAGCAGACTCCAACCTACTGAGCAGATTTCCTTCCTTCATTCAATGCCCTCTGCAGTAGTGGCCTAATCCAAAATCAGTCACATGGTCTGCACTTTGGAAACCTGCTTCTTCTAGTGAGGAAGAGGGGCCATCCCTGGGGGAAAGTGCTCCAGCAGAGTAGCCTGAGACACACGGAGGATGAGGCATGGGCAGCCAGGTGGACAAGTGTGGGAGATGGCCAGGAGCACTGCAGAGCCAGGACCTGAAGCCACGGAGAGTAAGTAGGAGGCTGGGACCCTCTGAGGAGCACTGGGGAGGCCCATGCCCAGCCCCCACCTGACCCCTGTGCTCCACTTAAGGATCCAGGCTTCTGCATTCCCCAGGCTCCTCCTTTGCTGGAGGACCTAACACAGCAGGCTCAGCAGAATCACAGAGACAGGAGCGAGTGAGAAGTGTCTGTCCTGATAGGATGGCACCTGTCATCCTCTTTCCACCCGTCACACCAGGGCTGGCAGTGCCGGGCTCAGAATCCCTAGTGCAGAAGCCACCTTCATCAGCGGTTGCAGCCCTGGCTGAGAAAGTGACCCCACCTACATCCAGAACCCAAAGAGCCAGCTTCTCTTCCACCCCAGCTTCCCCATTATGGCAGGAGCAGATATAAGTTCTGGGTACCCCCAGAGATGCCATGGACTGGATCTTTCTTCAATGAAATGCGTGTGTTGAAATTCTCACCAGCAACGTCGATGACGTTATTAGGAATGGAATTGACAGGTGTTGGATCACTGGCACAAGCTCCTCGTGATTGGACTGGCACGCTTTTCAAAGGCCCCTTACACCATGCAAGGACACAGGGCAGATGTCATCTAGGAACAAGGCGACCCTCGCTACACTCCTGATTTGCTGGTGCCTTAACCTGGTAGTCCCTGCCTCCAGCACTGTGAACAGTAAAGTCCTGCTATTTGTAAGTGTGTGATTTTCTGTAATAGCAGCACACGTGGACTGAGGCAGGGGACGGTCGTTCCTCTCTCTGCTCCATCCCTCCTTCCTTTTGTCCTCCAGCTCTCTCCCTCCTGCTCTTTCGTCCACCTGTCCTGCTTCTTTTTCCCTTTACAGTCAGTCCTCTGTGAATTTTCACATGAAATACGCAGTTGCTTCCTGTTTCCCTGACTGGGCTCAGGCTTACTCAGGAAATCGACCCTCAAAATTGGGTCTCTGCACTTGGGTTGTTCTGTTCTACTATGAATGCGAGGTGGACCTGTGACTCATGGAAAATGGCCCGCTGGTGTCCTACGGCATCAGAATCACCCAGTTATCACCTGCGGTTGCTCAGGAGGGCACCAGAGGAGGGTGACGCTTTGCAATAGGAAGTGGCCACTGCACTTGACTGTCACAATAGAACTGCAGGCTGTGCACGGGTGGTTTCTGGTCTGTGAAAAGCCTGCCAAGGAGGGAGACGCAGGAGAAGACAGAGGTGACAATGACCACAGCAGCACCGACAAAGATGAAAAGGAGGAGGAAAAGGAAGAGAAGAAGGACAGGGGGAGGAAAAGAAACACTGGGCAACGTGGACTCTACTAGAATTTAAAATTGATGTTTAAAAATGCATGAAAAGAGTAAAAAGACAAGACACAACTGGAGGACGGTATTTCTATCACACATACAATTCACCCACAATATGTAAACAACTATTATAAATCAGTAAGAAGGTGACAGGTAATCGGGGGGGGTGGCCTAAGAGCTACAATGAGTTTGTGTCCTTGCGGCCAACAAACACGTGAAGGTGCTCGGTCTCATCAAGGAAACAATAACTAAATGACAATGCATTAAAAACTACAATGAAACAGGAATTCACACCCACCAGGGTTGCTAAAATGGAAAAAAATAACAGTAAGAAGTGGGGGAAATATGAAGACATTGGAGCCCTCATGCATCGCTGGTGGAACAGTGAAATGGTACAGAAAGTCTGGGAAACAAGCTGTCAGTTTCCAGCAGCATTAGCATCTAACAGGC